CTACGTTTTCATTCATCTACGTTTCCTACTTTGTTACTTTTCATTCACTTATTTTCCTACTTTTTTCTTCTATTTTACACAATATAAATTACAAGGAATAAGATCAGTATTCACCTAATTACTGTGAACTAAATTTAAGCTCACCTAATTAATTCATCCTAAATTAACCTAACCTAATTAATCTGCCTTAAGTTAACCTGCCCCTATTAATCTAACGTAACATAATCTAATCAATGTAGCCTAAGTTAACCTAACCTATTTAATCTAACCATAGTTAACCCAACCAAATTAATCTAACTTAAGTTAACCTAACCTCCTTACACCTAATTAACCGAAGCTAATCTGGAATAAGTTTGGTCGTGTTAATAGTGTAAAGAGCACATGACCTGAAACCAAAGATAACACCACTAATGGTTCACTCGTCGCCCGGTAGTTACAACAATAATGGCAAAAAGTTATCACCCATTTTAGGAGTCCACAGCGTTTCCAGGTTTAATGTTGTCATTATCCCGGAGGCACCTAACACTACTAACCTAACGTAAGCTAACCTAACCTAACACTAACATAACATAACGTAACGTAACCTAACACTAACCTAACACAAAACAACACTAATCTAACCTGACGCTAACCAAACCTAACATAAGACTAACCAAACCTAACATAACCTTACCCAAAAACTACATAACCTAAGACTAATTAACATAACCTAACCAAATCAAACCTAACTTAACACTAACTTTATCTAACCTAACCTAACACTAACTTAACCAAACCAAACCCAAAATTAATCTAACCAAATCTAACGTAACACTAATCTATCACTAACACTAAACAAATTTCATATTTTTTTTTCCGAAACTTGTTAAAATCTTTTACTCGAGATAAAAAAAATGGAAATAATTAGTCTAAAGTTCGAGCCCTAAACTATTGCCTGAATTACTAAGTGGGCGAGGGAGGCAGTCATGAATAATGTGTGTGTGTGTGTGTGTGTGTGTGTGTGTGTGTGTGTTCTGTACATCCAGCCAATTTTTAAGTTCTTTTAAGGGTAATATAAAGGTACAGTATATGCAATGCTGACTGGACCCCCTGTTGATGTCAGGTATCAGAAGTGACTGACACACACACACGCGGCAGAAGAAGTCAGAGGAGGAAGAGACATAATTTTAATAAAGTTACATCGGCTCTTATGTATGAAATTATTAAATAAAAACTTCACTTGTTAATGACTAAACTTTCGAGTATTTCACTTACGATAATTAATTTCCTCGTTACTTATTTTTAAACTTTTTTTTTTATCGCCGGGGGAAAAATTACAGAAAATAATACGCTAAATGGATCCGCCCACCTGTGATAAATTGCGAAATACAGAACAGAATTGTGAGGTAATCGATGTTGGTGAGTAAAATATAAAACTTGATTTAACTGTGGAAAATATTTGTCCAGCGGACACATACACACACACACACACACACACACACACACACACACACACACACACACACACACACACACACACACACACACACACACACACACACACACACACACACACACACACACACACACCTCATTTTAACAATCCAATTTATGTGATATTTGTATTAATATTGTGTCTTATCTTTAACTATCTAGCAGGAACCAATTAAGGACCTGCCCGCCCCATCGTTGACCTGTCCCCCTCACACAATAGGTCAACACAGGAGTTAATATGCTATTATCTCTCTCATCACCCCATGAATCACCATGTGTTGGTAAAGTAGCTTTTGAGACACCCTGTATTTTGACCATCTCTCTGCTTTAACACACGAGATTGGATCAGCGGTGTGCATTGACTGTGTCCACGTGCAGTGACGTGCGACCTGCTGACACAGGGGCAGAGTTACCTGCTGATACAGGGGCAGTGTTACCTGCTGAAACAGGGGCAGTGTTATGTGTTGAAACAGGGGCAGTGTTACCTGTTATCACTGGAGCAATGTTACGTGTTGAAACAGGGACAGTGATACGTGCTACCTGCTACCACTGTGGCAATGTTACGTGCTGACACAGCGGCCGTGTTAAGTAAAGAAATATGAAATTTAGGTATAATTTTACGTGTACACATCTCTTAAAGGCACACAACAATGACTCCCTTCTCTGTTATTGGGTAAATTTATAGTCACGGGGTGAGTTAAATGGTACACGAGTTTTGTTAAGTCATCAGTTAAGGAGGTGTAATCAAAAAACACTTAGTCCCGCAGTTAAGGGGCATAAAACAGTCACAAGTTAAGGGAAACAGGTGTTCTACTAACTGCTCAATTAATGGTCAATGGAAAATACACACACAAAAATCTTACTTTGGGGTGTACCAGTGAAGGGTCCGTTCTAAAGTGTGCCCTACATATTCAACCCAAGTTTACTCAGTACACTCTGGAACACTTACGGGTTACCCCAGGGCTTGTGTAGTGCGTGTTTGACGTCACAGCCCCACGCAGGTTGAGAGGACAGGTATGTGATCCCCCCCCCCCCGCGTGTTCTCCAGATTTGTGAGCCAATTAGGTTTTTACGACAAGGTGGTGGTGATACGGTCGTAAAACTGCTACCGGCCCACACCAGTTAACAGTCATAGATTGCCTCCCTCTCTGGATTTCATGGGGATTCGAACTTAAGATTAATGGGTTGTCAGCGCGGTACAGTAACCACTCCATCACCGCACACTGTAGTTACTATTTTTACTCAAAATTCTCGTTCATGTATTTTCATACTAACTGTACTGGCTCACATCGGTACTGTTATAAATCACACACTGGACCGCCTACAGGGATTCCAACCTGGGAGTAATGGATTGCCAGTCGGGAACGATAACCACTCCGCCACCGCACTCTTTAGTTACTATTTTTAGTCAGAAAATTCATAGATGCATTTTTTACACACAGTTGCGTGACTTGCAATACACATCTTACATTAGTAAGGCTGATTCTTAAAGTACAATAAAGTAGCTCTTGAGTACGATGAACTAACCCTTGAGTACGATGAACTAACCCTTGAGTACGATGAACTAACTAAAATTCTCGAGTACCACAACTTCTTACTGAAGGGAGTATGCCATCGTGTTCAAGAGGTAAAAAAAAAATAGTTCCCTGGTCTCAGTATTATTCTTCAGGGAGACTTGTAAACAAACAGTGCATCAGGCGGTGTACTATACGGCGTCCACCTCGTGCACTGTATAACTCTAAAGCTCCATGAAGAACAAATTGAATAAAAAAAAAAGGAAAACACTACATAATTATTATTTTTTATATATTACAACTAACTATTAACTAATGGGTAAAAATCATCAATGAATAAACAAATCATAAATATATCAGAAAATATAAACCAAAAACAATTAGAAAAGGAATAAGAAAAGTCAGCCAAGAGTTAGACACAAATTTCTGCCAGGCAACCAGTCAGTCAGTCAGTCAGGCTTGTTACCCATGGAGCTGACAGACGCAGCTCCAAACCGTAATTTAGTGTCAGCCCTAAACACTGATGCAACACAAGAGAACCAGTTTCATCAGGTAGTTGAGAGGCGTTCAAGGTGAAGCACCAGGGCGACGCATCTCTCTCGTGTGTGTGTGTGTGTGTGTGTGTGTGTGTGTGTGTGTGTGTGTGTGTGTGTGTGGTCTTATACGCTACCACACCACTATAACATATACGGCATCACTAACAACCACATATAACACCTATACTATAACACAAAACAACTTCTATTATCAGAAAATCAATGGGACAAAAGTAACTAAAAATACAGAAGATAAAATACTTAACATAACAAATTTTCTCTATATACAAAACAAATTCTAATTACACTACCATACCTAATACACTGTAGCTACTAAGTATGAAACTGTTGTACTGTACTTCTCATGTAATAAATAGTACATAACGTGCAGGGTGTAGTACAAGTGAGTAATGGTGAGTTACATTAAAATATTAACAACAGGTTCCTTTACTAATCAGGTGAGTAATGGGTCATATTGCTACACTTGCGACTTCTCCACGACCGGCACTGAGATATACAGGGTGATGCAGCAAAGAGTACATTAAATAGAAGGATGAAATAATTGGATAGTTCTAAACCACAATGTCAGACTCTGCATTGTTTCCATGTTACAATACATTTAAGATGTTGTATTAATGAGAGTGAATTTGATGTACACCCCTCCCCCCTGTAACTGCCTTCATCTCATTCGGTTGTACACGGTCCCTGTCTCATTGCACCTGTGTCAACCATCTGTATGACGCTGTATCGCTGTACAGAAGACATCAGTAGATAAATGATTACAAAAACCTAAGGGGGTTTCATCCTCCAATTAAATGTACTCTTTGCTGAATCACCCTGTATAAGACCTACTCCTAACACCTCTGGCACTTCTTACTTGGCACTCTTAGGCTTCTCTGGCACCTGCTATGATCCCAGTTACTTAATCTTGGGATGTTTCGTGTAGTTTGTTTATCTCGTGTGTGTGTGTGTGTGTGTGTGTGTGTGTGTGTGTGTGTGTTAATAAGAAATCAAACATACAAAACTCAAAACTCATGCTGTTAACATGTACTGTATGTGTCAGGTAGGCCATACGAGGTAAGAGGGCGTGCCGAGTGTGTGTAGACAATCGCAAGTGCGTCTTACTCAATATCAATATACTACCCTCAACAAGTCTGTAGTGAGTAAATGTAGAGTGCGTTTATGTGGTAGAGTGTGTTTAAGGGTTAATTAAGAGTGTGTTCATATGTTACTGAATAGCGTGTTGACGTGGTATTTTAAAATGCGTTTTACTAGAGTGCATTTACGTGGTACCTTAGAATATGTTGAACGTGCCAATGTACAAGGCATCTATTTACCATTTCCAATACTAAATAATAAAACAAACCATGCATAGGGTGACTGATAACTATAGAGAGACTTAAAAAGAGTGCGCTAAAAAATTGGACTAATCCAACTTGAAGATATTAATAAAGAAATAAACTGAAGCTTCCATTACCTGCCTGAATCCCTGACAGGTTGAGAAAGAGAAACAGATCTTAGTATAGGTCTTAATAAACATGTAGTACACTAGATTAAGACATTATATAAAAAATCTTAGAAATAAATATAAGATTATTAGTAATTAGTGAGTTACCTGGAATAGAAATAGACATACGTAAAGGTTGTAAATATCTGGCTACGTGTCAGACATGGGGTTTGACATGGGGATTGACATGGGGTTATATTCTTCCCCATATCCAATGCTCCTTAGAATTGCTTCATCTCCACAATTAAACGAGAAACAAATACACACAATAACAAAATATACCTTATACAATACTCCCGACTTTTATTATACAACACATGGTACCTCCCTTCCCTCAACCCCTCTACTGTATAAGGCCAACACCTCCCTCCTCTATATACAACACACACACACACACACACACACACACACACACACACACACACACCATTGATATTCATGAGACAGTAGAAGCCACGGGTCCCCGGGTCCTACATCACACAGACAGACAGAGTACTTCTTCACCTGAGAGGAGACACGCCACCGGCCAACACTACCCCGTATTGTCCCACGCGGCTAGTTTTCTTCCCACACCAAAGAGCTATTTTTCCACGCCTGCAACTACGTTCCCACGCTTACATTTGATCTTCCCACGTCAATATACTGTACATCTTCCCTCGCCACCAGTTATCGTCCCACGCTACAGGATATTCTCCCACGCTACAGGACATTCTCCCACGCTACAGGATATTCTCCCACGCTACAGCATATTCTCCCACGCTACAAGATTTTTTCACACGCAACAGGATATTCTCCCACGCTACAGGATATTCTCCCACGCTGCGGGATATTTTCCCACGCTGCGGGATATTCTCCCACGCTACAAGATTTTCTCCCAGGCTACAGGATATTCTCCCACGCTACAGCATATTCTCCCACGCTACAAGATTTTTTCACGCGCTACAGGATATTCTCCCACACTACAAGATATTCTCCGACGCTACAAATTATGTTCCTAAGTCATCTGTCATTTCCTCCACACTAGCAATTACCTTCAGACCCTCCCAATCCCCAAACCTCCTCTAATGCCACCCAAGGTTTCCAATCTCCTTTCCAGTCGACCAACCCCTTCGCCCCCTCAGCACTACAAAGGCAAGTCGTCTGGACCCCAATAAGCAATAGGTCTCTTCGCCTTCCTGTCACCTTCCCTTTCAAAGAGTGATGAGGGAGGCGGCATTGTCCCCTCCCCCATCAGACAGCTCCTCACAGTTGGCTGACTCAGGTGGTGAGGGAAAGGAGGAGGAGGAGGCTGCTACCTGTCTCGCACTGGACATATGCGCCTCACTGAACCCTTTCACCCGTATTATGTAGGAGATGTCTGTCAGCCATTCTTTACTCCCGTTTTTATTCTAGTTTTGATTCTTACGGTTCTCTCAGTCCCCGTTGTAAGTCTCTCATCTGTATGTCTGTCTGTCTGTCTAATTCCGTACGTCTCAAGCACCTTACTGTTATCCCCTGTCGGTAAAACGTAACGTCAGCCATCCTCCATTGCCCTTCCACATGTTTCAGCCATACACTAGAGCCTTCAGCCATCTCCAAGAGTCTCCGGGAATCACTCAAATAGTGTATAAGTGTAAACAGCTCCACTACCTCCTCTTTCAGTCACACTCTTAAGATATCTCTCAGTCTTAACTAACTCACCAAGTCTCTCTCAGTAACGTCCACCATTTATACCTTTTTTTTTAATGTTTTAGTCTCTCTTCGGTCTCAGTCTTACTTCAGTCTGACTTCAGTTTCAATCTCAGTCTCTCTTTGGTCACAGTCTCACTTCAGTGTCAATCTTACTCCACAGTGTCACTTCAGAATCTCAGTTTCACTTTACATTATCAGTCTCACTTCAAAACCTCAGTCTCACTTCAAAGCCTCAGTCTCACTTCAGTCTCAGTCTCACTTCACAGTCTCTTAGCATTCCCTGGAAACCTTTGAGCCATCACTGTGTTAATTCCCCCAAGTTCTGCAACACTCGGCTCTCACTAACACGTAACGTCAGCCTCTTAAATGATTCCAGCCTCACAAGACAACTTTTAACCATTGCTGGAGTTTTGTGAGTTTTAATTCCATCTCTCAAGTAGTTCCATTGTTAATTTACTTTCATTGATAAGGAATGTATGTGTGTGTGTGTGTGTGTGTGTGTGTGTGTGTGTGTGTGTGTGTGTGTCAGTCTTCACCACTTAAATATTTCCAAATCCCTTTAACGACTAATTTCTTCCTGCCTTAAGTCCATAATCTCTCAGACACGCTTAATAATACCGTGACTACGACCTACTGCTCTCTCTCTTACACACACACCTGCCCTCCACACCTGCCCTCCACACCTGTCACCTTTATCCACACACCTCCAGCCCAAACCCTCCCACTACAGCCTCCATCCTAACCCTCCATCCTCCATCTAGAGACTATCAAGACCGTTTGTGGGTCCTTCTCCTCCTCCTCCTCGCCCTCTTCCTTCAAGACATTACCACAAAAATCTACTCATGTTGCCTTCCTTCCTTCCTTCCTTCCTTCGTCTTCCTCCTCCTACTACTCCTTACCTGACACCACCCCCTACAAGCCCTTCCATTCCCTCCCTGCCACCTCTCCTCTCCTCCATCCTCCTCACGTCTCACTCCCTCTCAACCAATTATCAAATGTGTCCTCTCTCTCTCTCTCTCAGTAATTACTTCTCATCTTTTTTCTCCTCAATTGTCCTTATCCCATTGTTCCTCACTTCCTCCTTCGTTCTCTCCCTCTTCTATTCCTCCATTCTCCTTCAGTCTTATTTACCTCGTCCTCCTATTCCTGCTAATTATCACCTATACTTCGTCTACCAGACTCTTTATTTTCTCGTTCTCCTCCTCCTCCTCTCTTCCCTTTCCCTCCTTTGTTATAATACCCTCTCTTCTCTTCTTCCCTCCCTCCTTATCATCTTATATGCCTCTAGCTCCTCTTTCTTCTTCCTCTTTCTCATCCTCCTTCCTCATTCACCTCCTTCCTTTCTCCCTTTTCTACTTGATCTTTCTCCTCTTCCTCCCTCGTTCTCATCCTCCTATCTCCTCTTTCTCTCCTCTTCCTCCCTCTTTCTCTCCTCCTCCTTCCTCTTCCTCTCCTCCATTATCATTCAGGGATTAATCCCCCCCAAGCCTGACTCTTGTTACCTGTTGTAATCGAATCTCACTTGACCTAAATGGCTGTTTCTCCCTCCCTCACACCTGCCTCCCCTCCCTCACACCTCCCCCCTCCTCCCTCCCACCTCCCCCCTCCCCTCCACACACCACTACCTCCCCTTCCATCCACCTGTCTCCCTACTCCCTCCACACCTGCCCCCTCCTCCCTCACACCTCCCCCTCCCCTCACACCACCTCCCTCCCTCTCCCACTTGCCTCCCTCCTCCCCTCCTCCCTACACCTCCCACCCTGCCCCCTCCTCCCCTCCACACCAGCTTCCTACCTCCCCTCACACCTGCCTCCTCCTCCCCTCCCACACCCCTGCCCCCTCCTCCCTCCCACACCTGCCCCTCCTCCCCTCCCACCCAGCTTCTCCTCCCTCACACCTGTCTCCTCCCCTCCCTCCACACCAGCTTCCTCTCCCTCACACACCTCCTCCTCCCTCACACACCTGCCTCCTCCTCCTCCTCCTCCTCCTCCCTCACACCTGCCCCTCTCCCTCACACCAGCTTCCCTACCTCCCTCACACACCTCCCCTCCCTCCCCACCTGCCTCCTCCTCCCTCCCACCTGCCTCCTCCTCCCCTCCACCAGCTTCCCTACCTCCCTCACACCTCCCTCCTCCCTCACACCAGCTTCCAACCTCCCTCACACTTGCCTCCTCCTCCTCCTCCCTCACACCTGCCCCCTCCTCCCTCACACCAGCTTCCTACCTCCCTCACACACCTCCCCTCCCCTTACCTGCCTCCCTCCCCCCTCCCTCCACACCTCCCCCCCTCCCCTCCCCCTGCCTCCTCCTCCCTCACACCTGCCCCCTCCTCCCTCACACCAGCTTCCTACCTCCCTCACACCTGCCTCCTCCTCCCTCACACCTGCCTTGCTTTCTATTTTTCCTCCCTTTCAATCTTTCCCTCCTCCTCCCTCCCTCACGAGTCACCTGACCCCTTCCACCTGTAATTAAGAGCCTCTTGTGGTTCACTTAACACACTAATTAATCACATTACATCCTCCAAATTATCACCTGTTCCTCATTATTCTTCTTTGTTCTTTTCTCCCCTTCCTACCAATTCCTCCACGTCAGAAAAGAAAGAAAAATGAAAAGAAAAAGTTCGTAATGAAGGAAACGATTACTATGACAATTTCTATCATGAAAAGCAAACGCAGAATTAAGACCCATTTCCCAATTAAGTCATTACCCATTCCCCATCCCTCACTAATACCCCAGATATCTCCTCCTGTCACCCAATTAGACCCAGTCTCCACGCGTTCCCCACCCCCCCGCCAATCCCCCTGTTCCCCAAGGCAGGACGTAACTCCCTCTCCCCACCCATCCCTACCTAGTGCCTTCCTATACCAGTACATCTCTTTATAACCCCCCTTAAACCCCCTATAGGATTCCACCCCTTTAGTCCCTCCCCCTCTCACCCCCTAATAGGACGCCTCACAACCACCCCTCTTACAAAATCCCCCATATTCCCTCCTTTCCTCAAATACGACGTATAGCAGTCACCCCCACTGGTCCCCTACAATAAGACGTCTCGTAGTCATCCTCCTTACAAACCCCCAAAGTCCCCTTCCTCCTCAATAAACGCCACAGAATTATTCCCCTACAAAAACCTCCCCGCCACGAACTGCCCCACCCCCTAAGACGTACCTCCCTGGACGGCGAACATGACGAGGTCCTGAACGACGGGGACGCGGGAGCGGGCGAGAGGCGGCTCCTCCTTCAGGATGGCCACATAACTGCTGCTGGGGCTGGGCTCTACCTCCCCCCGGGCCGTCACTTCCA